GACATGGAGGTGTTGGCTATCTCCTTCTCTATTATGAAGTAAACCAGATACTGGTTTTCATGGAGGTCAGGGTCAAACGCAGTGAGAGAGCTGAGCAAGGCTCCAGGTGCGTTATTCTCCATGACACGTATAGTATTAAATGACTGTGGAAACTGTGGCGCGTTGTCATTGACATCCAGTAGATGAACAGTTATTGTTTCATTGTCAGATAAAGGAGGTTTTCCTGCGTCTGTCACAATAAGCATGATTTCATATTCAGGGACTGTTTCGCGATCCAGTGGTTCAGACACTATAAGCTTGTAATGCATGGGTCTGTCTGATGATTCGTTCAGAATAAAAGGCATACGCTGATGTATAGATAGACTCACTTTTCCATTTTCTCCAGTGTCTCTGTCACTTATTCCTACCAGCGCAATGACACTTCCTACGGGTATGTTCTCATCGACTGTGTTTTTAACAGACTGTATGGTGATTTCTGGATAATTATCATTCATGTCTGTCACATGGACGACTACTTTACACTGCCCTAGCAAAGGATGCGCCCCCTTGTCTCTGGCCTCAATGTGCATCTCATAAAATTTCATATCTTCATAGTCTATAGTTCCCTTCACAGTTATCTCCCCTGTGTTAGGATTCATTGCAAATACATCTTGTGTTTTTTCTGACGTGTACAAGGTAAATGAGTACACTATCTCTGAATTCAGACCCTCGTCAAGATCTGTAGCGTTCAGCTTCATCACTAAGGCTCCTATGGGGCTGTTTTCTGTCATGTTAATGGTGTAGGTCTGCTTATCAAACCGAGGAGGATTATCGTTAGTGTCCTGCACTCTTACTATAATATTGGCAGTTCCAGAGCGCACAGGGACACCGCCGTCCACAGCAGTCAGTATTAGATTATGAACAGCCTTCTCCTCTCTGTCTAAAGACTTGGTCAGCACCAAATCCACATATTGAGTTCCGTCGCTGCCTGTCTGAATTTCGATAGTGAAATGCTCACTCACACTGAGTTTGTACGTTTTAATTGTATTTATTCCAACATCTGGATCTACAGCATTGGGCAGAGAGAACCTCTCGCCGGGTGTCGCCGACTCTGAAACGTCAAGCTCTACTCTGTCTCTTCGAAAATGTGGAGCATTATCATTTATGTCTGTTATTCCAAGCTCAATGTTGAAGATACGTAGGGGGCTTTCTATGATAACATCAAGCTTTAAAAAACAGGATGTGGGTTTCGCCGGACAGAGATATTCCCTGTCCATCTTTTCTACGATATACAGTTCCCCTGTCTTTTTGTTAAAATCTAGATATTTTTTGCTGGTGAAAATATCAAGCTTTACCTCTCGTTGCGCCAAACCTCCAGGATCAAGTCCCAAATCTGCAGCAAGGTTAGCCACAACAGAGCCCCTCTCCATCTCTTCGGCTATGGAGTATCGTGTCACAGACAAAGCACTGGGCCATGCCGCACACAAGACAAAGACTGAGGTCCAAAACGGCATCCTTTCCTCTGCAGGGAAAAGCAATCCAGATTCTCAAAGCGTTTGGTGTTTCTGATGATTTTTTAAGGTCTGACAAAATAACTTGGGAAAATCTTATATAAAACAGAAAATAAAAATATTTATGATTCTGTTGTTTATAAATGAAAGCATATCTTCCAGAAAGCTGTGTGTCCTGCACCCTTTACAAATGGGTGTGTCATGACTTTATGGAAGGAGATGTGCTATGCTTCAGTGGTCAACAGCGACACCGTGTGACAGAAACTCTGCATAGTCCAGTAATTATTTTACAGCCAGGTTTGTGGTCAAAGCCAAAATATTGCTTTTTTCAAGGATTCACCCGCGTCTTTTTTTTCTTCTTCGTCTTTTGTTTGTGTGTGTTGGTGACAGGAAAGGATTTTCAGTTTTTCCACATGAACAGTCTCAGTGTGTTAGAGCTGATTTCAGTCAGCAAAATGCCTTGTTCTTCCTCACCACGGTATATTTTTAAAAGTTAACCACATTTGCTTGTGTTTTTGTGATTCAGTCAGTGCCACAAAACTTAGAGAGCACCTCAAAGTTTACAACAGACTGATTGGAAACTTTAAAAACACACACATATTCTGCAAAATTATAGAAATATGTTTAATTAACACTTTTTTGTTAACAAATTATGTTGTGAAACTGGTCTGACCTACATCTCCTCTCCTTCACAACATGCTTCATTTTCAGTGGTCTACTGAGCTTCAGTTTTGGTTTCATGCCTTCATATTCATGCCAGTTGGTGATTCTAATACTTGATGTAAGCCCACTACTGCCTGTCTTCAGCTGACAAACAATATGCACTGGGGGACGCTACAAATGTAATTATGATTTGTGTCCATGTAAATTACATGACCGGTTTTTACACAGAATTAGTTTTTATCATTATTTTAAAATTAAACAAGTAGGATATCTTTAACAAATCACCTTCAAAATAAAAAATATGTATTTCTCCAAGTAGCTAGAAATTCAATTATTACATATATTGATTTTAAACTAACTTCAGTATATATATATACACTTTCACACCTTGCCGTAGTCTGCAAAGTGCAAAAGGAATCATAGACTGGTTTCAAATGTGAACAAGCTGATGTGACAAAGGTTGCACAGAGATTGCATCTCTTAAAGTCCCCTCTTAAACCTCTACACAACTCTGAGGCTTATGAAGTATTTAAACTGTTTGACCTGCACCATAAGGCCTGCCAGGAAACACATGCAGCTGGACTTAAATCAGAAATATATTCAAACAAACCCAGTGCAGTGACATAGTGGATGGATATGACTTTATTTAAAAAACAATCTCACCCTCCTGGTTCATAAGCAGCTTCAAAAGGTGATCGACTTTTTCAGCGCTGTATAAAGTACGACGTTCTGGTCCAGTTTGAACCTAACAAGTTGACCCAGGGTCTGAAGATGAAGAAATATGTGAGGACTCTTTGGTGATTAGATTTCCCCCAGTGGTGCCTAGACACCGGTGGTGGTGCTGCCACAGAGATGAAGAATGAAGCTGAAGATGTGGACAGAGGTGGATGGGAGATTCATCAACATAACACTGAAATGACAGCTGACAGCAGCAGAACAGTTTCAAAGCACCTTGGCACTGATTCATTGAGTCTCTGAAACTCACCTGGAGAGATGAACATCAGTCTTCCAAATGGAGAGCGCTGTCTAACACAACAGTCCAAAATCTTCCACACATGATCCATCAGGTTGAGATCTGGCATCTGTGAAGGTTATAGCATATGTTTCACATTATTTTCATGCTCATCAAACCACTTAGTGCCCCCTCGTGCCTTCTGGAGAGAGGCATCGTCATTCTGGAAGAGACTGGCTAAGTGAGCTCTGTCTGTGGATCAGAGCCTGTGATCTGGCTGACAGTGACTCCTATAAGAATAGGCATTTTCCTTGCAGGATAAAGATGATCACTCAGTATGACTTTGTACTGATTTGCAGTACATTCTAAGGGGGCAAGTCGACCCAAACTATGCCAGAAAAATGCCACTCACAGCATAACAGAGAGACAGAAAATGTAAATAACTTGAAAAAGCATGAGATAATCACTAAGCTGTGTTCTGTTATGTGTAATACAACATTGCAAGGTTGTCTCATTTCTTCCCAGTAACACTGTTATTTTTGCTTTGCATTATCTTTTATTTATTGTGTTTGTCAAAGCTATTATAAGTCATGCTGAAGTGACTCACGTTTGTTCTTTGGGCCTTGAAGACACATCGACAATGTTGATCTCCCTGCTTGGATATTTTTCTGTAGCTATTTAACATGAAAACAATCTAGACATCAGTGTTATCTGAAACAACACAAGCTTTTCATATTGGTGCACCCAATACACAGTTGTGACAGTTTTTACTACCATCAGATATCTATTCCTTGTGTAGTCTCTCTATAGAGTAAACTTCTAAGCCACAATTACGCACAACAGATTCATTGGATAAATTTTGGTTGCCAGAAAGTTACAGAAATCTGCTCTGTGTAAAAGTTTGAAAAGTTACAGTTGTGATAAAATTTTGTATGAATCTGTAATTTTCTACATTTGCACTTTTTTAAAACACTGATTTCAGTGCATACTATGCTGTTTTATAAACTATCTGTGTAACTGACTTTCAAAAACTGCTATGATCTTTATTACTTAAACATGAACAAACCTAAACACTACCCAAAATTTTAGGACAAATATGCCTAATGCTAATATTAATATTTACTTACTATGAACGTGTCTTTTCAAACCACATGTGCCCAACTCAAAGCCCATTACTTGCTAAAGTAGACTGAAGACAAGTTGAGTCCTGATGAGCTGCCTAAAAAGTCTGCATGTTGGTGTTTAAATAAGTTGACGTATCTAAGTAGAAGTAGCACTTTTGCTTGGAGACATGCAGAGATTAACTGAAAGTAAAACAGAACTCACCATGTAATGTGGAGGATCAGAATAAGCCCAGCTCCACTCTGTCACACACTAAAACAAGAGTTTAAAAGTTACTGTAGCTTTTCCAGTATCACTGAGGTTTTCAGATTACATGAGGATTTTTTTTTTTTTTTTTGTGAAGTATGAACTTCAGTGAGGTACAAAACATTTGATGAAACACAATTTCAAAAGAAGAACAAAAGTATCTTACACATAAAGTGACTGAACAAAAGAAATGTTAAGAAAAAAAATACAGCTTCAGAGCTTGAGCTCAAAGATACGATGTAGGGTTGTAGTGGTACAAATAAAATCACTTGTTTTGCTTTATGATGAGAGCTGCTGCCAGACACCAGATCAATATCACAGCAAAATATGAGGCAAGTGGAAATGTGATGGATTTTGCCTGCAAACAAAGAAAAAATAAAATCAGATTTGTAAAAACTCCAGTCTAGCATATAGGCTTGCTGCGCTTCCCTGTCTCCCTGAAATGCAATGCATACACCATATACAGATTCGCCTAAATATTTTAGAAATATCTGTTGTTTCATTAATAGGAGATGTAAAACTTCAAACTTTGGTCTTAATTCAATTAATAAAAGCTAATTATACAAATGCTGTGCTGCTGTTTGTTGCTCTAGTCTTTGTGTTTCTGCCTGACTTTCTCAAAAAAGACAGGAAAAAATAACTACATAAGTTCCTCTACCTCTCTTGCCATCCCTCTGTTGTTTTATCTCCCTCTGTTGTTTTATCTATTTTTTTCTCTCCCCAAATGCACTCAGTCAAGGGCCCTTTTGAATCTGACATTGTTTTGGTTTACCTCATTGTAACCTCTCAGCTCCACACGTCCTGATTTTAAAGTATAAAACAAATCTACCAACACTAATTTATGTTGTAACGATTCTTACTCAATGATGCCATCTGCTGGAGATTTTTGTTGTCAGCCCAGCGTAAAAATAACTGTGACTGAGGAATAATCATGAATTAATACAATTTTCTAATAGCCAGCATTTCACTGCCGTCAGAGCAGCTCCTCTTTAAAATTAAGTCTCTTAAGTTCAGTATTAAGCATCTTTTATTTGAATGGGGTTAATTACTCCAATCATATTAATCTACAAATCATTATGCAGGTATGTAAAGTGGTCTCTAGCATGTTGCTCCTGATATAAATAATATTCTTTAATGAACCCGAGCACATTTATTGAATTACTATACAAAGTACAGATTTGAGGTACTTGTGCCTTAATTTTTATTTTTTTTACATTAAAACCACTACACTTCACAGTAAAATAATATTATTACTGCTTAATCTATTTGAGTTACTAGTTGGTGCATGTTAGATATGAACATCAGTTTATAAGTTATGAAGCACTGTTGCATATTAACATACCCAACATTATTTAAAATAGTTTTTAAAAATGACCTACACCACAACCAGATGAATGTTAAAGTGCCTCTTCTGTTGTCTCTCTGAGTGCAAGCCAGGTTTAGCAAAGTTTCCTCTTTCTTTTTTTTCTTTTTTTTGTGTAAAGCTGTACTGCTACTGTTACTTAAATAAAAGGTTTCCTCCACTCACCACTGCCCTTTAAGAAAAAACACTTAGGCTCCAAGAAAATATACTTTATTCTTATCTTATCTGCACCATTCACACTTCGTGGGTTCGTTTCCTTGGCACTGCTTTGAGATGAAAGACATGGGGGTCACAGGGTGTTGAGGGTTCAAGATTTCTGAGTGTGGGTGTGTGTATTAAAGAGAGGCGCCTCCAAAGCCCTGAATCCATCATCCTGCACCGGTGTTTGTTGACTAGACGCGCCCTCTGGCGGACAAGTGTAGACATTGCAGCTGGATAGAAAACAACCGCTGGTCAACGCAGTTTCAGCACCACGACCACCGGACAGCTCCCACCAAGACGGTGAAGAGATGTGACAAGTGCTCGCATGTTTCCTTGTGTTGAGTACTGCGTTGCTGTAACTGGGAAGAAACTGGGAGACCTCATATCTTATCACAGCACTGTCATTTGACTACAATTTCCCTAGCAGCTGGCTTTGAGAGAAACTGAAACTCATGTGAGCTGATGTCTCACTTGTATGTGATGTTTCTGAATACGCTTAAAGTTGTTCTTGGTGCAGAGTCTGAGAAATACTATTACACCTCTATTTTAGGAACAGCGCCATTCTTCAGTCACCTGAAAATAAGCCAAGCTGACCTAAATATGGCTGCCCCTATGGATCACCTTACCGCAGAGAAGGTTAGCCTGCTCCCCTCCATGCTCTCTGTGGACACCAGTTTCCTTATTAGCGAAATTATTTTCAATCTGAGCCATAGGACGACCTAATTACCCCGCTCATTTTCTGGCCAGTAGCCAGCTCTCATCTGTTGATGGTAGGAACTAATTCCCTGAGAAGTGAGATGTAAAAGGGCACAGAGAGAGGGAGAAGCCACAGGCGCCCGAGCTCACATTCAGGTGTGGCATTTGGAGTTGAACCCCCCCACACTTCCCCTGACGCTTGTATCCGTGTTCGTGGTCTTAATTAAAATGGTATTTCGAGAGAGGAGGTTCTGTTTGTTCAGTTAATGAACCCCACTATTCTCTGCGGGCAAATGGAAATGCAAGCACTCCAATTAGCATATGTTAGCATTTTACTATGTTTATTCCTCACCGTGGAAAACAGCTTACCAAGGCGAAAAGCTTTCTACCCTTGTAGGAGTAGCTGTGGAACTTTTTCACCCCAAAATAATTGACTCAAGCTAATTAAACACAGATCTAGGAAACTTACATCTAAATGATTTATGCATGTAGATCGACTGGACCTGGGGTTTGGATGCGTGGGTTGGGTTAGACCTTGAGTTTTATTTTAAATTACTCTTAAAACATGCATGTTTAGGAGACATAAGAAAAACCATATGAAAAAAATACTTTATTTTCATAAATGTATACAGTACATGTGTGGGGAAAACCCCCCCATCATTACAGTAGTCTGCGTCATGGTGCAGCTTGCATATACATTACCATACTATTTGTCATATTCACACAAGCTGTGTTAGCAAACACACATAGAAAATGAAAAAAAAACACCTTTTCTTTTCATATAACCAAAAAATATAAATCCTTAAGTATGTGCAAAATCATTTTCCACGAATGCTTTTCAAAACATTTTGGATGTAACTGCAGCTCCAGTTTGATTGTCTAAATAATAATAATAATAATAATAATAATAATAATAATAATAATAATAACAGACACATTGACAATGTTGCAGTGGCATGTCACATAAATAGCCATCAGACTACATTTCCCTTCAGCCTTTCAGCCAAAATAGATTGTCCATTCATGATTCCTATTTCCAAGTGAATTGCAGTTCCTCTCTACTTTTCATACCACTTATAAATCATATATTCATTATTTATGTACTGAATGTTCTCTCCCTCTGTTTTCGTATGAGGTTATCCATCACTTTAATCGTCTGTTTAGGCATTCGTCGAAATGTCAGTCATTGTACAGGTCATTATTTATCATCGCAGCCTCTCCTTGCGGGGACATCTGAAGACGTCGCTTCTTGCCAAAAGTGGAGAAGGAATTGTGGACATCCAGCTCACTTCGCTGCGCGGTGGGCCTCAGGGTGCAAAAGCCCGATGGTGTCCCAGGGATGTACACGTTGTGGTGGTAGTCAGGTGGTGGGTGAGGGTGCGGGTGGGATGGGATCGATGGCTGCTGCTGCTGGGGAGGAGGTGTGCACCGAGGAGTCCAGGGGCGAGAGGGGAGTCCGCTGGGTGAAGGAGACATCTTATAGTCTAGACATAGGGTGGAAGGAGAGGAGAGGCAATTAGTCATTATAAAATATTGACTTGCTCCTGAAGTGCTGTTGTGATTTGCATTATGTAAAGCAAAGTTTAGTGCTTTGCAATCAGGACAATGAACAATTGCACACAGTGAAAGAAGAGGTCAGCAGCAAAAAAAAAATACATAAACAGAGCTGTAGTGGTGCTGAATATAACAGCTTATGTTGGAAGTGGAGATGAGGTAAGCCTGTGCCAATAAATCACTTAAAGGAGCAACAAAGAGAAAGACAATGTCATTACATGAAAGCATGGAGGTGTGCCGTAAACAATACTGATGTTGGCGTGTGTGTAATATAATGTAAATGCAAACATAGCCATAAATTTGTGTAGTTTTGATGAGAGCTGTTTTTCATGCACCACATGAGGCCTCTCTTACCTTTCATGCCTCTCATGTGAGTACCCCAGGTCCAGTACTGCCCAGGTGCCATGGAGGTGACATAATTTTCAGGGTCCGCATGCATGGCCTTACGCATGAGGGTGCCATCCATGTTGATAGAGTTGTAACTAGAGGTAAGATAATAGTCTCTGTTAGGACGCGCTTTACAAATAATTATGAAAATGCAATATCTGTAGACATATTTACATGAGGGTTTCAGCTCATTATTTCAGCATACTTGAACACATAGTTGAACAAATGTGACACTAGTCTGACAAATGTTAAAAGTCAAAATGATACCTTTTAATAGATGAGTTCTGATTCTTTGTGAGGGTCCAGTCTGTGTTTGGCTGCTTCAGCTGCAGGGCAAAGAAATGTCAGAGTTAACTGAAAGTTACAAAGATGTAAAATGCAACACCATTTGGGGAAATATGTCTCTTCAAAAATGAGTTTGACAACAAAGGACGTCTGTTCACTGCACCCTCCTGAATCATAGAGGTCAGTGATACTCGACAGCAGCAGTCTATCACTGTGTTTGTACTGAAATGGAGACATGACTCTTTTTTCTGATGGATCGTGGCTGCCGCCCTGTGGATGTTTGGCAGAAGACAATTTTTCAACGCCGAGGTGCTTTTGCCTTCAGCTACGGCTCGCCTGTCACTTATTTTTGCTTTTCTCCTCTGTGGCGCAGCAGGAAGGGTGAAGGAGAAGCACCCGAGTGATATTTATTCCTGGTTTGAGTCCCATAGTATGGATTGCACGCTCCATTAATTCACCTAAAGTTGTTAACAAGGAGAATGCGACGTAAGCGTATTATTAGAATCGGTATTCAAAATACTCTCCTCGCCAACTACGCACAAAACCAATTAGAACCCCACCGGGATGAAACGAAACATGATTTTAATCTTCAAAGGAAACCGTGCCAGGGAGGAAATTAAGAAAATTACACACGTCATTGTTTTGTGGATTTTATGCATCATTTTACATTAATATTTGCCTGATGCTCCTCGAGCAAGGTTTTTAATTAAAAGTCTCACAGAGAGCCTTGAAAAGTTTGCGGCCCTTGCAGCTGTAAGTGCACCACCCAATGAAAAGCTCTGCACGCATTTATAGCACGGCGCACATCCACGCACCTGACTGTCCTGGGTGTTTTACACGCTTGGAAGTGTATTTAATCTCCCTTTTCACCTTCGATTCGTCAACTTAAGCAGGCCTAGGCGCTCGCTTTATGCTATGCCCAAATACCTTCAGTGTGATTCGTCTTTCGTGTGTCACTGACGACCTCACAGCGACTCACGTGAGTGCGCTGAGGGACACCGCTGGGTGAATTAGTGGAACCAATTAATAATAGGAAGGACACTTTCCCCTGAAGGAGTATAGCTGCGGGCAGAATAATCACCGTGACCTCGAAATCCCTCTGGTGGCCAGAGGTGTATGTGCCAGTGACCGAAGTGACATTTCTCAGTCTGTCTGGTGGAGTCTGGTGTCACGGCTCTCAGTCTTTGTCCCCCCTCCTGCATTTTGATGAAAACGCGGAGACGAAAATCAGTATTACGCACACATTTACGGTCCGCTGCTCCGTCTATTAGGATTAGAAAACACCGGTGTAGACGTCCTGCCTCTGTAAATTCCTTCTCTCCTTGTCTCCTGTCTTGCCCCCTTCTTCTATCTCACCCCCTCCTCTTCCCCACCCTTGCTCGACAAATATGAAGCCACACATCTCTCTCTCTCTCTCTCTCTCTCTCTCTCTCTCTCTCTCTCTCTCTCTCTCTCTCTCCCTCCCTCTCTCTCTCTCTCTCTCTCTCCTCACATTCAGAGGACAACGCCGGGGCCGATCTACAGGCTGTCCACGTCTCAGTCCAGCCATGTCCTTGCACCCCCTCCTTCTCCTTGCCCCCTCCCCTCCATGTCCTCCCCTGTCTCCCCAAAACCAGCCATTTGCCATTTTTCATCAATAATGGACAGCCCCCCTTTGCGAATACGCCACATTGTGTGCGTGGTATAATGGTTCGGTCGTGGTTGTGCCCTTGAGGCATAGTTAGTGAGGTTATCTGTCCTATATTGTTAGTTTGAGAACGTGGAGGCGTGTGACATACCCGGCTGGTCGAACAAGAAAGATTAATTCAAACACCTGCCATTTCACCTTGTCTGTCACGTACATAACCTTGACTTTTTGTTCAAACTCAGGTGGATGCGCTGGAGGCAGGTGTGTGTGCGCTGCCTCACTGCATGGAAACTATTTGGCAATGACACTGGACCATTCTCGCAGGTCACAATCTGATTTAATTAGTTCACGAATCACTATTAGTGAATGCTTGAATTGTTACCAAGCCTGAACAGAGGAGTCAGCTTGAACCACATCTCCTTTTCCTCTCACACAGTAATTGACATCTCACTTCATTCTAAGACACGGTTTTTTGCACAGCATATGCTCCTCGCAAGATGGTGCTTTACACTTTCATTAACATGTCAATTAAAATGTAATCTCACATCGTCTCATTTCATTTCCCCGGTGCAAAACATTACCATAGGCAACACAATTAGAATACATTATTGCCACAATTATTTTATATATTTAAAAAAACACAGCAGAGACGACATACTGTGCAACACACGAACAAGAAAGCAGAGAGGCAAAAACACGACTTTACTCAGTGTTTGCTCAAGTTGAGTTTAAAGCTGTGTGATTTGACCTTCATGGAGGAATGTCACAGTTATCAGATAGAAAACTAAGAGGGATTTAATTATGGAAATGAGTGAAGCAGACAGATTTAAATGGCCAACGCTATATGCTTATTTCACCATACCTCATTGGGAGTAGTTGCTCCGTTGTTCACAGATGCGCTCCGGCTTTGCGCGTTCCACGAGTTTTCTGCGCTCTTTGCCTCGTTGTTCCTCGGTGTGCTGCTCGGGCTGCACGGCTTCAGAAACATAAAGTCACTTTTGGCTGATTCGGGGGTCAGACACACTTTATAACAATATGACTGAGACAGACTGCTATTTCCATTCACCTCCATGCAGTTCGTGGGCACTTTGGCGGCGGATGAAATCTGCAGGTTGAGGTTGGATTTTTTAAACACCTCCGGGGGCGGCTCCGGCTGAAACCCCCCGCAACAGCAGCAGGCTAACGGGGGCAGGTTGTACCCGCTGAGGGTCTCGCTGTCCTTGTAGCACTTGACCGCGGCCAGCACGATGATAGCCACCAGGAATATTAAAGATATTGTGCTCAGTGACACGATCAAGTAGAGAGCGAGGTTCGAGGGTGGCTGGGGGCTGAGTGTGAGGTCTCCGAAATCTGACAGCGACTCCGGCACGCTGTCTACTACTGTGAGGACAATGGAGACGGTAGCGGAGAGCGGCGGCTGTCCGTTGTCCTTGACTAGTATTACCAGCCTTTGTCTTGTTGCGTCTTTTTCCACTAAGCGGCGAATAGTCCTGATTTCGCCCGTGTACAGAGCCACACTGAAGAGCCCCGGGTCTGTAGCCTGCAACACCTGATAGGACAACCGGGAGTTCTGCCCCGCGTCTGCGTCTAACGCGGTTATTTTGGTAACCAGATACCCCGCGTCTACTGACCGCGGAACAACCTCTGTGGCCACCGTGCCGTTTTTGGGCAGCGGGGATACAATTACAGGTGCGTTGTCGTTCTGGTCCAAGACAAAGACGTTCACTGTGACATTACTGGCGAGAGGAGGGAAGCCAGCATCCTGCGCCTGTACCAGAATCTGAAAGTTTCTAAGTTGCTCATAATCAAAAGAGCGCAGTGCGTAGATGTTACCGTTGTCAGAGTTGATTGAGACATAAGTGGACACTGGCATGCCCTGAATCTGACCCTCGAGAATAGAATAAGACAGATAGGCGTTCTGGTTAGAATCGGGGTCGAACGCAGTTACAGAGCAAATGGAAGCGCCCGGGGCATTATTCTCGGTCACATAAACTGTGTATGAAGGTTGAGAGAACCGCGGGGGGTTGTCGTTAATGTCAGACACTTGAACAAGGATTGTTTTTCTGGTGGAGAGCGAAGGAGATCCCAAGTCCCTTGCTGTGAGGGTGATATTGTACTCAGACACCGCTTCCCTGTCCAGAAACTCGCTCGTCACCAGAGTATAATAGTTTTTAAAAGATGAATGGAGCTGAAAGGGGACGGTGCTCGGGATTTGGCAGTCGACGTTACCGTTCTCTCCCGAGTCCCGGTCCATGACACTGATCACGGCTATCACCGTTCCCGGCGGCGCGTCTTCCTGGACAGGAGTGGACACTGATGTGAGGATGACTTCGGGCGCGTTGTCATTCACATCCAGGATGTCCACCAGCACTTTACTGTGCACTGCCACAGCCGAGGGTCCTCTGTCTTTTGCTTGCACGTACAGTTCATATACGCTGGCTTTCTCATAGTCCACGACGCCCTTCACTCGGACTTCACCCATGTACGGGTCCACGCTGAACAGTTCGCGCACCTTGAGTGGTGCGTGCCCGCTGAACGCGTAAGTAACCTCCCCGTTTGAGCCTTCATCCAAGTCAGTGGCGTTCAGCTTCAGCACCAGTGTCCCCCTCGGTGCGTTCTCCACCAGGCTCGCCCGGTAAACTGAGCGGTCAAATACAGGCACATTATCATTGGCATCTAACACTGTAATCGTTATCAACGCTGTCCCAGAGCGCTCCGGTGATCCCCCGTCAAAGGCAGTTAGAATCATTTCGTGCTTTTTCTGCTGTTCCCGGTCCAGGGGGGTGTCCAGCACGAGCTCAGCAAACTTGCTTCCATCGTTGCGCGTCTGGATATTCAACACGAAGTGTTCGTTTGCGCTGAGCTGGTAGGAGCGCAGAGAGTTGGTGCCCACGTCCTGATCCTGTGCGCTCTCTAACGGGAAACGGGAGCCGGGCGCCGCGGATTCTGTGATGTCAAGATTGAATTCGCTCCATGGAAAACTGGGAGAATTGTCATTCACGTCTAAAATCTCCACTTCCACTCTGTACAGTTCTAATGGGTTTTCAATAACCACTTGTAAGTGCAGAAAGCAGTTCGGGCTTCGTTCGCACAGCTCCTCTCTGTCTATCTTTTCGTTGACGAAGAGAATGCCATTTTCCAAGTTCACTTCTAAATACTGCTTCTTTGCGCCGGAGACAATGCGAAACCGGCGGGCTGATAGTTTGGCCACATCCAAACCCAGGTCTTCGGCGATATTGCCCACAAACGCTCCATGCTCCAGCTCTTCGGGAATGGAGTACCGAATTTGAGCAAGAACCAGGTCCACCACACATGCACACAGAAGCAGACATATAACCAGGCCAGTCACCGGTACCCAGCTGCCTCTGGAGAGTCTGTGATCCATTTCAGCGCCGTGCGTAAAATCACCTCACCCAGACATCTTCTGCTTTATAAAGCCATTCAGCTCTACAGTTAAAGAGTGAATATAGCAGGGGGGGAAACAGGAAAAAAAAAACTGCAGAAAATCTCTCTCCAGATGTAAGTTTGTTTACATCTATGTGTATAGATAACTTTACCGAATACTTAAGATGAGATATCGGGAGGGGAGAGGAGAGTGAAAGCGCCTCTCTCAGTGTTGTGCTCCACGCGCAACGCCGGTGGTGTGTGAACGGGAAAGCTCGCGCTTTGATTTTCCAGTGTATTAGGCACTCGGAGGAGCTGGTGGGGAGGTGTGTGTGTTTGTGAGAGAGACTGTGTGTGTATGTGTGTGACAGAGAGAGAGAGAGAGAGAGAGAGAGAGAGGGGTGGAGGGGGTGGACGTAGCTCCTCGCAGCTCCGTATTGGAGGACGCAGACGCGAAGTGCGACTCTAATTACTGTAGACGTTTAACCCTTTCACATCATCGTGTCTGCTCGTCTGACCCATTAAAAAGACGAGAGGGCGTAAGTTTGACACCAGACGTCAGAGCCAGATTTGGATTAGGAGACAAATTGTGCTTTGGGGGGGGGTCGTTTTCTAGGTTGCAGTTTACCAGATGACAGTGGATAAAGATGTGTCTCCATGGTGCCTTAGAGGTCCAGGGTGGCCGTGATAGCCATTTATTTTACAATGTTTTTTTGTTTTTTTTCTTTTAGAACCCTCCATTACAGCTTCAAAGAAGGAACAAACTATTCTCCCGGAGTTCCACTTGTGCGTGTTGCGATGCAGAAAACAAAAACGCGTAGGCTTATGCGCTCATTCGCTGCGCCTCCAATGGCCCAGTGGTCACTACCAGTAGGCCCCTGGAGACTCCATAATGCTCCTTAATTAGAGCCCTTTGAAGATGAATGCCCACAACTGCAAAACAGCTCCATTCATTAATCATCACACACGAAATTGGGTTTTACCAAAAGAATCTTTGATAGGTCAGGGTATTCATTTTTAATCAACATATAAATGAGTGTGAGCTACATTTTGGTGCTTAAAATGATTACACTGACAGTCATGAACTGACGATACACCCTTACAAATACGCATTACACGACTTTAATTCACCTAAGTAGGCCTGAACATGGATCAACATAATCAACATAAAAGCAATGTCATAAAGCTTTAATCATACTTGTCTGTAATCAGGTGTTATTGTTAGGATTAGATAAATATCCCATAGGTGTTTACAGGGCAGAAAAGGCGCGCGTTAATGCTTAGAAATGGTTAGAAAAACTTCAGTCTTTGACTAGATTATAAGTGACTCTATGAGATGAAAGCACTCCCACTACTGTGTTTATGTGACAAAGAGGACAACTCTTTAGAGCGCAGCACATGTTTGCTCCGATCTAATCTTTTCCCTGTTAATCCTGGTCAGTTAGACAACCACTGAACGACAGAGAGCGGGAAGGAGAGGGAGAGGAACTAAAGGATGCCTTTGTGAATTCGGGTTCGTCTCCAGACAGACACGAGTGGCATCCTAATGTAAAACTGTGGCTTGAAATCTGAAAGTCTCTTCTTGGGACTGACGACACAGCCTTGGCCCCCGGGCAGCGTTGGGCTTGTTAGCTACTAAAAAGAGAGAGAGAAAAAAAAAAGAGCGAGAGGGAGATGAGAGAGAAAGAACAAGAAACAAATAATTCCGCTTCCAGGGGCAGCGTTTTCTTTTACACAAGACGCTGCATTTTCTATTAAATTGCCCCCAAAACCCTGGGACTGCATCCTCTGTCGAAAATTGGGTTGATGGTTGGTCCTCAGTGAGAGTGATCAGGGAAACAAAGCCATGTATGCTTTCACTTGAGAGAGAAAAAAATCAAAAATCAAACAGGGCTTATGGGAATAGTGTCACTTGGAAATATTAGTTGTTTATGACACTTCCCCTTTGAACCAACTAAGAGAGAAACTTTAGGGAGTGGAGGCAGTTTTTGTGTATTTCATGTTTAGTCTGGTATTTAAAGAGGGGTAACAAAGGTCACGACCTATGCTGTGTATAAGCAAAACCTGCAGTGCAACAAAATAATTCAAATCCTCTTTCTGGAAGACGATGCTGCATAAAAAGTATCACTCATTCTTCCCCTTTAGGAACAAAAGTTGTTGCCGACCTATCTCTTCAGCAAGCAGCCCAGAAATGCATCACCCTCCCCTTTTCAGGAAAAAAAAAAAAAAAGTGAAATCCCCAGGTTTAAATAAGCAGAAAACACAATCTGCTTGTAGACTTAACCTCAAGCAGATGGTTAAGCTTCTCCAGAAATGATTACATTTCTGGAAAAGAGAGGGGAAAAAAATCACCACCAGCAGTTCCATTGCTTTCCCCTTCTTTTTAATTAACGGAGTGAAGGATTAGTGTGCAGCTATCCGGGATCAACCGTTCTCCGACGGAAGAATACAAATGTTTTGTGATAAATAATCCCAAAGCACTCCGGCCGGCGGTCCCTCGGTGCCTGTTACATTAACATGCATTACACGGAGCATTAAGCCGGTCTCATCCGCCCCTATCGCCTCGCTCACCCCATTGTCCGACAGAAAGACAGCCATTACTTTCTCTGAACTGCCGCTCAACAGCCACCTGACCGTGACCCGGTGCTCCACTCCGCTCAGTAGAGAGCCACGGAATGAAAAGGTAGCTGTGGGTGGATCAAGGATGCTCAAGGACTAATGCTTCGAATCTTACTTCTTCTTTCACGCGCTTAAAAATAAAGAGGAGAGTGTTTTCTTCAAGTGCTTTTAGTTGACCATTCATGATCTAAGTTTCATTTGGCCCGAAATGTGCACAAGTGTGGCCAACTGAGGCTTTGTCTTCCATTCGTGATCTCGTGGCGCCATCTACTGGCCTTTCACCGATATTGCGTGGAACAAAAAGGCCTGTTATGGGTGTTTAAACTACGTTGTATAAAAGGAAAACTTTTTTTTCTCCTTACTTATACAGAATAGACAAAATGTCAGTAGAAGTAATTTAGATCAGGTTTCCTATAGGTATACACTACAGCACCTAAATATGTTCACTCTTTTGAGTGTTTGAATGGAGTTTTTCATCACTGCAAGGAGTTAAAAATGAAGACAATCTAACACTTTTGTGTTGATGATACTCATACTCTACACTAAAACAGGTAAGCAAAACACTAGAGTCAGTTTTTAAAACAACACTTGCAGGCTACACATGACTCTAAAATAATACCATTAATGAGTAAAACATAGTTATCTCTAAGGGTGTAGAACTATTTCCTTCCTCCCACAGCCACCTACTCACATACTATCAATTTAAGAAAAAAATCTTGTGCAAAATCTGCAATAAAACAGCAGGGACATCACAATATAACAGATCAGCATGGAGTCATACAACATTTCAATATGTCAAAGTACATCTGGCTATCGGTGCCATATGAAAACTGTCCATCATTAACTCTATGTTACACCAGGTCATGTACACAGGTCAGTGTGAATAGTTCTGTTTTCTCTTCAGTTCTAAATGCATTTTAATGATCGTCAGCATACATTGTTGAATCTTTCCAAGTCAGTCCTGTCATCTCTAGCAATTATACTGACAATGTGCACAACAAAGGCATCTCATTTTCATCACAATAACATGCACACATACAATCCTGACATGCCATACCAGAGCTTTTGACCCAGGAAGTTGTAAAAACATTAAAATACACACCAAGAGTTTTATTCAGCACCTCACTGCCCACTAAACTGCTGAACAAGACTTGGAGCCAAATTGCAATCTTTTAAAATATTTTTTCCACCAAAAGAAAGGCCAGCACATTCTGATGTTTCTTTATCGTTGTTTTTGGGATGTTCCTTAAGACCTTTTGTTGTGCCTTTCTTTTAAACCACATGTGTGTGAGTGCTGTGAGTTGTTGGATACATAATGCAGAGAAGAAATTTATAGGAAGACATCATATAGACACAAATAAACAAAGACAATAAGCTAAACAAATAAAAGCAAACAAACATAGGTCTACATCAGTTGGTTAATACAGATCATAATGCTTTATAATCCACTGTCAAACAAGTGGCATTCATAACATAAATACCCCAACACATGGGGTTAGTTTTCACTGATGCTCATCCTACATTCCACACTTTGACTGAAAGCTCTGAGGATTCATGACCGAAGCACAATAAGCTCATTTAACCAATACAGTGTGAGTCATTAGTGTTGAAGACATAAGGAACACGTCATATTAGTAACTGTACTCACTAAACATATGTTCATGTGGCTGTATGATCTGAACCTAAAATGTTTATTAAGGAAACCAGACTGCAATCTTCATCAGGCTCATTCAAGGTGCATTAAAATGTATGACAACATTAAAAAACATATCTAATCAGCACATTTTAAACTGTGGTAAATTCACATAGCCATAATGAATGATTTCAGCATTGGATTTCTTGGTTTTAACGAAATAACAGAGCCTGAAGGAAGTAAGACAGTAAGGGTGAGATGTGTTATTTGATAATGAATCTGCACTGCAGGTTAGATTAAATTATGAGAATAAACAGGATTATACATGATAATGAATGAATAGGTGTCCTTCACTCAGACTGTATGTCTCACAATCACTTAAAGGAGCTAATTAAAAGAACAATAGAGTAAAAGTTAATTAATTGAGTGATGCACCGATCTGGACTTATCAATTAAGTTTGTGCAGTTGTCACAGTGACCCCATCAAAGGTCAAGAGTGTTTCCAGTCTTCATCCGTGATCTTAGAGCGCCATCTACCGACTGCTGTGCGTTATAACTTTTTTTTCACTTGTCTGTCAAATAGGCTGTGAATGGTCAGTGCAAAGCAGTTCTCTTCATTATTATAAGTTTTGAATGTTTTCGGCTTCTGATATTCCAGCTCACAAGTTTGATTTTACCCACTTGATGCTGTCCATGACAAAAACGTTTGTTGTTTTATTTGTCAGGATAAGTCTCAATGAGAACATGTG